CATGAGACAATTTGACAAATACTATTGACTGTCATCTGGGCCCATCACAGTCACCAGCACAGGGGTAAAAGAACATGGTAGTTAAATAAACGACGAGCAGCAAGCTAGAGTAGTACTCAAATTCGCCGAGTTTTGCAAGAGTTCCTCTTGCTGTTCGGCCCATGCAGCGATGTCGTTGACAAAACGGCGAGCAATGCCTATTTTTACACCATTCTCAACAAAGAAATTTGGGTTTTGGTCATCGAAAATCTGCTCAAGATCAAGGCAATTTTCCAGTGCAATACTGCATGCTTTTCGAATCTCCGCCTTGTACGTGTCGCTAGTGACATTTAGTTCCTGCCACTTGCTGTACTCCTTAACAGCATCATCTCGTGGGCCAAGGATATTGGGACATTCACGATAAGGAGTATTCATGTCTGCGGATATGGCTGGTGTTTGTGTTGTTGACATGGAGGTTTGAGGAGACTGAGTGGGTAGGAGATTGATGTTAATAGGATAGGGGTTGTTAGGTGCAAGGGTATTGCTACCCCTTGACTGCCCTTTTTCCAGTCTTTGCTGCTCCTCTTTATGGAGCTGCTCGCGGATCGCATCGGGAACATCACTGTGGGTCTCGAGGATGCCTTCGTTATCCACATACCTGATAAGCTTTTTTAGGTGATGTGGTCCAAGCTTATAGTGCTTCTTCCCATTGGGATCCTGCCAGCAGTATTGCCCTAGGTGGCTTGGTGGCCCAGGACAACGCATCAACTTGTACAGATGCTCCTGCAAAAAGTTTTGTCTCGCCCTACTAAGCACTAAAAACGCCACAATTTTCTTCTGAAATACGCACTGAAATTAATACTGAAGATCCTGTATCTCATTCTTTTATTATCATTCAAATTAATAAGTAAGTTACAGTGTAATTAGTGAAGTCTTCCTTCCTTATATTCATTGCCACCTTCTAACTCTATAACCTTCTTAATATGAACAGGAATCCGCTCTATCCAAGCCTGAATCTGCTCCTGTGGTAGATCCCTCCATGTTCTTTCCCATATTGCTATAGCTGCTGCCCGGTTCTGTGGAGCTCCTTTGACAGTTGTTTTTCGTTTCATCCAGGTCCAAGCAGGTTCAATCGTATTGAGATCTGGGGAATTCGCACACCAGAGCATCCGTTGAATGTGATGAATCTCATATATATGATGTTGGATATAGTGATCATGAGCAGGAGCTCGATCCTCCTGGACAATGGTATTTGGACGTTCCTTTTCACACTCATTGGCAAAGGGAAAGAGCTTTGGAAGAAGGATTTTGACCTGATATCGATACCAATCAATTCCATTACTTTTGCCACGGGATAGCTTGCCTGTCTCTTTCTTCCACTTCCATATTGGTTGAGGTCCTGGCAGTTGACGAAGGTTTAAACGTCGTATTCCATTTTGAAGCTCCCATTCTGCTTTCTTGATTGGTTCCATCATTTCATTAAGAGAATCTATATCCTTTACTGACTGAGCCTTTTCTTGAGCAGTTTCCGGACTCCAGCAGTGACAGGGACCCTTTTTATCATATGAGAAACAACCCCAGAATATGAACTCTGAAGACCCCTTCCATCGCTCGCGTATGCAACTTCGAGAGAATCTTTCCTTGGAGGTTCTCCAAATTCGATATCCTCCACGGCGATGAAGCAATATAACAGATGTCTCATCTGACCATATAACTCTTTTCCAATCTTCTAGAGTCCAATCTTGATGATCTAGACACCACTGAAGTCGTTCATGTTTCATTTTATTGGTCAAGCCAGGTTTTCGAGTAGGTTTGGTCTTTTTCATGCCTGCTTTTCGCAAGATCTTCCATACAGTGTTGGGTGCAATATTAAAGCCCTCCTCACTGAGCTCAAGAGCCATATCAGCACAGGATTTCTCCCGTCCATATCGATTTCGGCGCACCTTCGCTAATACTTGCTCTCAAATAGGAGAAGTCTGTTTTGTAGGTCTGCCACTGCGGGGGGCATCTTGAAGGAATTCATCACGGATAGTAAGATAGAGGAGATCAGGGTTGAAGCCACGTTCAAGAGCTCTGGCATATATACGGTTGATTTGGCGAGCAGAGAGATTTGTAATATTCATGATCTCAGTGGTAGTTTTTGCAATATAAGGTGATTTGAGAGCCACCACGAGCGCCCGAGTGGCGATATCAGTATTGGGAGCCATGATTGAAAGCAGCACTGATGATGAAAAGATAACAAACTGAGGCAATAGAAACTAGGTGGGAGCCTCTTATATTTTAAATGAGGGGTAGTTTTATTACATTTTAATACTGTGGTGGTGCTCACTATCTAATATAGCGGTTTTTTAATTATCTTGGCGAGACAAAATTTTTTGCAGCGGCTTCTGTATATTACCCGTGGGAGGCTGCCCGCACGGGCCATCGCCTGCCATTGAATGGGAGGGTTCCGATGTACAAAAATAAACGTGGGTGGAAGCCAAGGTTTGGATTGGGGAAGACTAACGAGGATTGGCGGAAGCCTGCGGTCCGTCTATTAAAAGCAATTACGGTAATATTTCCTACTGTACAGCACAAGAAAGACATATCCAGCTTCTACATTATTCGAAGTTCCACTAACCCCGTAGATCCTGTTCTGTGCATGCAGTTATGGCCTGACCGTTCGGGGTCGAAGAATGTCTAGCGACTCATCTCAACTATATATCTATAGATGGGTTTCTATGTTAATTTCTTAATGACGGCTTTTCTTCGCTACAAGAACTCCACTCAAGCAGACGATATAGAGACGCGATCGGTCACGCGTACACGTTGTGGACTATGAGCGCGTGCCCCTGAAATTCTTCAACGCCATCCAGCGCATCCGGGCACGACGGGTGAGGGCACCAGAGCAGAGTGTCGGGGTCAAGGTAGGGGAGGTGGCAATTTTGGACATGTCTTCGAAGGTGGTCGGGTCGTGAAAAGGAGTAAATCCGCGCGGAGTGTGGCAGCTGGCTATCTCCGAGACAGAAGAGACACTGAGTACCCGGACATGAGATGGGAAAGGTGTCCGCGTCAATGATGCCGTCGAACGTAATATCGACTCCAGATTCGGCAGATGAGACTCTCCGCTTGCGCGGCCCCTCGCGTAGGCTGCAGAGTGAAACCCAATCCTGGCTTGTTTGCACTCGGCGGATATAAAGCTCGTGCTGGTCTTCGGTTCGACAGTCTGACGAGCGGAAGAGATTCCGAGCGAGCCGCGCTCGCTCCTCGAATACAAATTGGACCTTGTCCTCATCGTCCATCTTGAGCTCCTCGCTAATAGACAATCCTAGAAGTTGCCTCTCGATCTCGACCGTGTCGATGGTTGCGAAGAACTCCTGCCTCATATCCTCAAACGCCTCGCGGTGGAGGGTTTGTTTCTCGGCCCTGATGGTATCCCCAAGCTCTGTGTACTCGCGATGCAGCGCTGTGCCTTTGGATTTTGGAACCGAACCGTGCTTTCTCTCGATAAGTTTACGCAAAGAACGCTGCCGGTCACACAGCTTGACGAGCTGGGGATCCCGCTCGATTGCCTCCTTCTGCTCATTGCTAAGTTCCTTCGGAGCACGAGGATCGCGTGTGAGGCTGAACCTTCCAACAGCCTGGATGATGGACTCTCGGGCAGGGCAGCCAAGGTAGGCGGACTGCACATCCCGCTTGACTTTTACTGATATATAGTAGCGTTCGAAGATATCCGCTCGGGAATGGCCCATGACTTGGTTACGCTCACTGGTAGTTGCAATAGCTGGGTATGGAAACATCAGAACGCCGTTGGGTGAAAGTGTGGAGATGCCGATAATAATACTCACTGTCAACCGCGTTGGCGGTTCCTCGCCTGATACAATACGGTGTCAACTTGTGCTCGAATCCTGCATTGCGTCCCAGGCGTTGGAGATACTGGTTGAATGTGTCATAGGGCAGAGCTTTATCTGGAGAGATCCGAATCCCCTCTGCGGTGTGTACGGCTCGACGGAACACGGGGATATTGAGCATGTGGGGTTTCCATTTTAGATGCAGGCTGTTACGGGGCGCCATAACCCGAATGCGGAGCACATCTTCAACCGAGTTGATGCCTCTTGCGTCGAATGCATCATCAGCCAGCGCCAGGGCAAGGAAGTGGGAGACAGGACAAAGCGCGAGATTGTCGTCTCGTTCGTGGAAAATATAGGTTGTCCTGTCCAAGTGAGTTTTTGGAAGATAAAATGCCAGACAGGTAGAGCTCACGGTTGTGACTTGTTCCGCTTCCCCTTCATGAACATAAGAGATACTTCCATCACAAGTACATGCCGGTCCGGCTGATCTGGATTGGGAATCACACGCAGCACAATATCCTTATAGCAGAGGGCATCATTGGAACCGCGGAGACAACCACTCTCGATGAGTGCTCCGGGCCGCGTTGAGGTGTAGGCGATAAACAACATGAGCAGTGGATTCTGCACGGTATATCGTTCATGGGTAACGGATGCTGTATCCAGACACCAGTGGTAGTGGAGAATGGCCACAAGGTCTTCCACACTCACCACCGGTTTGTAATCAATCGACAGGTCCAAATCGTACTCATCGGTCAAAGGACCCAGGATGAACTAATACTGCGAATTAGAAAAGGGGAGACCGATGTTTTGGGCTGGGGCTCTACCTCGCTGATTAATTCGCCCACCAACTCATCCACCTTTCGACCTGTCTCCCTCTTAAAGAGCAGTCGAAGGAATTTCCATTCAACCCAAATCGTACTCTGTTTGGTGATGTTGAAGTTTTTCAATCTCCAATCGGCATAGACTCGGAAGTTCTCGTCCACACATGCGGAAAGGTGAGAGCGGGCGTCGACCCCCATAAATGAACAGTGTCTTCACAAGAGATGTCAGCAGATTCCACCATGGATCCGATATGCATGAGGCTCACCGATCCCAGAAACGCTGAACACGATTGATGGCAATAATTGTGGCATCGGCATATTTCTTGCCTGTGACCTGGAATCGAGCCAATCTGACGGTATCTCTCGCGCGGTATTCATCTGGGGTGAGCTCCTCGACTTTCTTCTTCCGGGCACGTCGGCTCTCCTTGGTGGGTTTGGAGGGTTTCCATAAGCAAGTCCATTGGGAAAACATGTCATTCGTATAATAGGAGGAAGCGGAGAAAGTAACTAGCACAAGGAGACTGGAAAGGAGCAGCGTAAATAAGTGGATGCGAAGGCAGTAGAAACAGTATCACTGAGAGTGAACGAAGGAAATGCTTCAACGGAGCAGAAGACATTGAATTTATACATTGTGAGGAGTAGAGCATCACCGTCCTACAACGAGGCCGAGCATCGATAGCTTGTGGATACGACATCGCGACTATCGCTGTGTCTGAGGTATCCATGTGGAAAATGGTTGTTGACAGGCGTGAGGTGTGCTATTGAAATAAAAGCGGCGCAGGTTTCGCGTCACGTGTCCTGGAATGGGCTTAAAACAGCGTCGAAAATGAGATGCTCTGAGTGGCTGCACCCCCATCTTACAGACTATAGTTAATCTCCTCGTATTATATAAGCAAGTACATGCCTAGCCTTCCTCACCATCATCATCCGCCAACCATCTCCACCAACGTTCGTCCTTCGCATCCTTCTCCGAGCGCGGGTTCAATTTCCATACTGACAAATGATTGCTTTAATCGAAGCTTGTCATGTCAGAATACTGGAAGTCCACAGTAAGTTTGCTGTCTTTGTGCTCCACATCTCCCAAAAACTTTCCCTCGGCTCCATGGGCGCGTAGAAACTAACTCCAATCAAATTTTCCAGCCTAAATACTGGTGCAAGCACTGCAAAACCTACGTCCGCGACACTGCCTTCGAGCGCACCCAGCACGAAGCCACAGGCAAACACCAGGGTAACCTCAGGCGCTTCCTGCGCGATATCCACCGCAACAACGAACGCGACGAGCGAAAAAATCAACAAGCGAAGAATGAAATCGAGCGGCTGAAGGGTGTTGTCTCTGGATCGTCCAAGACAGGAGACCAACAACAGCGCTCACCATGGAAACATGGGCTAGGGGCTGGTTCAGGCGCAGGTCCAGCCACAGGTGCAAATGCGGAATCGAGTACATCTCTCTCTGTAAACGCAGAGCAGCGGAAGCGTCAACTGGCACAACTAGTGGAGCTTGGAGTTGCTATCCCGGAGGAGTTTAGGCCAGATTTGGCGCTCGCGGGGGATTGGAAAGTTGTTGAAGAGACAACAGCGGAGGAAAAAGGGCACGAGCAGGATCCTATGGCTGGGTTGAATATTGGCGTCAGGAAAAGGAAGTTTGAAGGACAGGAGGAGGAGGAGGCTGCAGGAGAGACGGTGATGAGGAAAGGGTGGGGATCGACGACAAGGGCGTTCCCTGATGATGGGAAGGATATTGACGCTTTGTTGGAACGGGCGACGGAGCTGAAAAGGAAGGGGCCAAAGATGGAGACACCAGATGTTAAAGCGGAGCGGGAAGGCGTTGTCGACGGCAGTATCGGCATTGCGACCAAGAAGGAGAACCCAGCCGCTAATGATGGGGATGTTCCTCCGATTAAAAGAGAGGAAAGAGGAAATGGGTCGACGATTGCTGTGACCAAAGAGAAAGGGGATGCGAAGGATGTATCGCGATCGGCTTCAGAGACTTTGGGGAAAACTTCTGAGGGCATCGTACCTGCCGTGGTTTTCAAGAAGCGCAAACCGAAGCATGCCAGGTGATTTTATTAATCGACTGGCTACGTAACAAAGTTCTCATATCTCTATTTATTTGGATGAAATTGACCTCCATTCCCCGGTCAAAGATACTACTACATGCCCGTACCTCCATGGTATATATCGGCAATGGGGCTAGAATCCCATAACCTGGGAACGTGTCAACGGCGCTTCGATTGCCCACTCCTGAGCTATACGGCTCGACTAGACGCCTCCCTATTGTAAAAAACGCAAGACAGTTTTCGAGCTTTCCTTGTGTATGACAGCGAACTAACCGGTCCACCTAATACCGTGCGTGGAAGAGCACCTACTCGTCCCCTGCATGCGTATGGGGATCCCTAAGTGGAATAAGCGTGCGCGCAGGAATGAAAGCCCATCTTTGAGCAAGGGCAATCACATATTTGTGAACGAATGGATGAAGCACTTAACTCCACTGCAAGCTTCTGCTAGAGTTTGTCATTATAGTGCTTTGAGCACCTCAGCAGCTCGCCAATTTGCTAATTTAAGAATCCAGGATATATAAATATATTGTAAAAAAAAAAAGTAACAACTGTTTGGACGCAATTAGATACTTGTCGTCGTATTTTGAAGTTGTTGAGATAAGTTCTGTTTCAACTCGAAGCCTGAAAAGTAGGTTCGCCCACATAGTTGATATTTAATTAATTCCTGCCCAGCCAAACCATAACCGATGAAACCATAGATAAAACCATTTGCCCTTGCAGATATACAGAGCAGCTGTCGTTGTCCCTTCCCTTCCACTTCCTCTCTGCCTTCGTCAAAAATTGCCACTTGGGTTTTTCTTTGCGATCTCTAGCCAGCTAAGTTAATTGGTTGCTGTAACGATCTGCTGCCAAATATTGACCGTCGCCCGCCGTACTCGCCGCGGTAGAATATCCCGCTGTGGACACAGATCAGAACTTCTGTGGTCAGAAGTTGCTTCGACCGGCTCACCTTTGTCCTTTTTCGCTTATCTCGGATCTATTTTCCCCAGGTACGTTGGTCCATAGAGACAGGAGGCTGCTGTGACTTGGCTTCTCGCTTGAGCTGCCCGCTTCTGACCTTCCATTCTCCTGGCCCCAATCATTATCTATCCAGCGAGGTCCATTTCCCTCCATCCCATTGCCCCTTTCCCTGCTATCGCTGCAAATGGCCTGTCGCGTTATTGGTTGTCCGCTGGTTGCTGCTTTTTGCTCCTGTGTTTTAATCATGCCGACTCAGCCCAGCTGTCGCGATCGAGCGCGTTCTTTCGCATTTTTTCCGCGATTGGGAGCTGGCCCCCAGTAGTTGGTTTGCGCCCATGGTTATATCTTGCAGATAAGTCTACTGATGGCTACCCAAATTCGAGCACTGGATGACGTCTGCCTCCACTTGATGTCTTGTTAGTTTTCTGTGTATGATTGACTTCCCGTGGCAAGCCTCCTGGTTGCGATCATATCCTTACGGAAAACATTCAGAAATGCTGCAGCTTCATCGCCCAACATCAAAATGCTATCTGTCACATACAATTTTACTTCTAGGCTCATATCTTGTTATTATTATATGCTAACTAATAGATCGCGTTGCAGTGTATGGAGCCTCAGATCCCATGTGCGACAAGTTAATCGGAGTTCGAATCAGTGCGCCCAGCGTTTTCCCTCCACATCCCACCGTCCTTTCGAGCCTCACTTGCCCAGTGATAAAAGTGCATAGTGTTATAACCACCCTATAGACTGTTGCGACTGTATCCATCGCTACTGGACGTATAGGTGGTCAACCTTACAGCAAGAGAGTGTTGTGTCCTGGCAGGGTCTGCGCAAAATGTCAGACACCGTGCCACCTCCCACAGGGCCTTCAACAACGGACACAGCTCCACAAAAAGAATCAGATCCATCCCCAAATCATCACAATCCAGCTGCTACAGCATCAGCGTCTTCTGCCCCTAGCCAAGATGCCCCACCTACACCGAATCCGCTCCTCAACCCCTCTCCCTCAACCCACTCACCACAGATGCAACCTCCAGACCCGCAGCCACCGCAACAACAACACTTATCGCAGCATATGGATCCCGTACACCAGCTTCAGCATTACCAGCCTCCATCAGCGAATTCGCAGGCGATGATAAACCAAAACCCACTAAGTCTGCCTCCAATTCAATCAATTGAAACCCATCACCAAAATCACCAGATTCCGCAGGCCCATTCGCAAGCGTCCATCTCCTCTGCGATAAATGCTCCAATGAACATGCCCCCACCGAATATCCCCCAATACTATGCTCTCGCTGGAGCCATTCCCGGTCCCGATCCGTATCCAATAACGGGTGAACCAAACCGAGGGTTGTCTAGTGGTCGACACAAAAAGGAAGTTAAGCGACGGACGAAAACGGGTTGTCTTACCTGCAGGAAACGAAGAATAAAGGTAAGAATAGCATTTAATTAACAACGTAAATTCTACACAGACGAATGTGTTGTAAAATAAACGAATGCAGCGTTGGCAGAGGGAATTCCCCCCCCCTTTTTTTTGTTGTCTGTCCTTCTGCTCCCCCGCATTAATCACTGCGTCGATGCTCGCTTAGAGCGTCGCTAAACGAAAGCTACATCAGCCTCCCCGCATTACTCTCTTTTCCAAGGAGCTTTGAACCTCCTTTGACAAAAGTTCATATTCACTTGACACACTGTGTGGTTTTATCCCCGCCATCGTCCCCGCACTTTGCTTCCCTACCTTGTGGTTATCTCACCGTGCGCTTTTATCTACCCCTCTCTATTTATCTCACGGCTAACTGGAGCTACTTGGACCGCATACAGTGTGATGAAAGACATCCCGTTTGTAGGAATTGTGAAAAAAGCAAGCGCGATTGTCTTGGGTACGATCCGGTGTTCAGACCGCAGCCAGGCCCGACAACTCTGCAGCCTGCGCCGTCGCAACCATCGTTACTCGGATCTCCTCAAGGCAGCCCCTCGTATACCAGTGTTCATAACTCCCCAACCGGAAGCCAGTCTTTTGCGCATCCATCCTTACCAACAACAAGAGCATCATCTTCATTTTCAGCTCATCAGTTCGATTACGGAACAAACGCAATTGATCCAGCCTTAGAAGGAGCCGTGTCACCAAAGGCCGGTACGCATAACACAAGCGAAGGGGGCCAAACACCATCTTCAGTCATGTATGGGACTGAGAACCTAGAATGTAATATCTCTTCACGTTCAACCCAATTCCTCATCTTGTGCTAATTTTCCTTTTCTGTATAGTAAAACCTGTAAAGGTTGTGGATCTCCTTTCCGTTCGCGGACATCTCTCCCCAACTCCAGAAATCACAACAATCCCCGCATCACGAATCGAGGAAATCAAACTAGTCTACATCTCATATGCGGTTGCTATTGACAAGTTTCTCGAATGCACCTGGTTCGAAACGAAAGGGATGGTCCATCTCCTGGCCAACTCCCGCCTCTTATCATATTACTCCGCCCTTTTAGATGGTTTCAACGACCGCAATATCCATGACCCTGCCGTTCTGGCACGGGTCGAGAGTCTCGAGGCCTCCGTCATTTGGGAAACGTTAACATTAACCCGCGTCGCTCGTACCAAAGAACCAGACACGAACGGAAATGGGACCACAGCCAATACCACCGATGTCGAACTCTTATACGCCGTGAAACGACTAGCCGTTTTCGAAGCCCTGATAACCGGCACATACCTGGACACGAACCCGGTGAGTCTAGACAGCTACCCGGAATGCGATCCGGCACACAGACTCCCCGGCATCGGTAACCAGATAAAATCCCGCGAGATCGATTTTTGGGAATCCGTTGGCCGTTACCTTACTATCTCCGAGGACGAAGCAAATGCACAAAAACGAAAAGAGGAAGCTTTGGCAATGGCTCGTGGGCTGCTGGATACTTTTGAGAATCGCGATGTTATCTATTCTATCGTCATTGTGCGACATATTGCTAAATTCCAGCCGCGGAAACTAAAGCAGACAACTGCCAGCACAGATGAGAAGGATGCCGCCGCGAAGTTGTATGTTGCTGTTAGGTTCTTGGAGGACGAAAGCCATGGTAAAGGGACGAACCAGGTTATCAAGCGGTTAAGCGGGATGGTTGTCAAGTATTGGGAGGATCCACCAGGGGCCTCATAGTCAATTGGAGCTTTATATTTTATATTTTCTTCCATCTTCTTTTTTAAAGTTTAATTATATGAAAAACGGGTTATTCTCTCTTTTATCTTGTTTGCATTTCCTGTTTCAATTAATTATTTGGATGAATGGGTTGGTTGGGATGTGTTTTTCATCTTGATCGACTTTTTTTTTTTCTCTCTCTAACATACTTTGCTACTTATTGTTACTATTTATCCTGTATAACAACAACAATTGTTAAAATTTAGTGGTGAATATTTGATTTAGATTCTGATTTAAATTTTCTCCTGGCTATATGTTTCTGAGATTGGCATATTCGGTTGATAATAACTGACAACGCCAACACGACAGCAAGGCGTGTTCAGGAGTGCAGGATGCATCTCCCTGCTCCCCTTTCTCGTTTTTTCCTTTCTATCTCGGCCATGTCGCTCTATTTTGCAAATACGATATGTTTTATTATTGGCCTAATTGACAGCGGGTGAACGTAATAATTCAGTTGAACAATTGCGTATAATTAATTCGACAACTGCAGCCAGTGCAAGAAAGTGGATTGGCTTTGGGCACGGGCAACGACCAGTTCCCGCACCCTAACCCTTACCCCCTGCTCCAATTCGAGGTCTTATAAAAGAGAGAAAACGACAAGTTAAGATACATAGTTAGTTAAAGGAACGGCAATGATGTAATGGCAATTGGCCCGGGAAACTGTCAGCGCGTACACAGGGGGATATGGGAACATCGGCTAAATGCATCTAGCAAGTAATCCATGCATGCGCTGTACCTTGGAACAGAGGCTTTAACGTTGCATATCCAGATATAAATAATTACTATTATATAGGCAGCAGATGGCTAGTTAGTTATGTAGGAAATGCCTTTACAAATCAAAAATAATAAAAACAGCCCTTCCTCCCTTGTTCGCATAACGAAACCGCCCCAATGGGTATTTGCGTATTCGCTTTTTGGCACCTTCCTCCTCCATTTTATTTATAGCCGTATATTACTTAGGTGTATTATTATATAGTATACTCGGACAGGCGTGGGTGTTCCCCAAGAAGCAAAAAAAACAAAAACAAAAAAACAAAAAAGGATCGAAAAAATGTGAGAGTGCTATATAGCTGGGTTGAAGATAAATAAATACTGCATTTCACGATACCCGCGACATCTCTCCCTGTTCGGGAACGGGAGATTTCAACTTGCCCTTTTCAATGGCCTGGCGCACATTGTCGATCGCCCATTCTTCCATGGCTGTTTGGGTCTATACAACAGAATGTTTCAGTCAGTAACCGCGATCTCTGGTGTGGCCAGGGCGCCCCCCCCCCCCCCCCCCCCCTAAAAAAAAAAAAAAAAAAAAAAAAAAAAAAAAAAAAAAAAAAAAAAATCCTTTCCCTCGACAGTGTAGGTGCCCATATGCGGCACTAGCATGACATTCGGGTTGCGCAAGAGGCCCGGGTGCACATTGGGCTCGTCTTCGAACACATCTAGGCCGACAGATAGCACTTTGCCACTGTCCAGCGCTTGGACCATGGCATCTTCATCGATGACAGCGCCGCGGGCGGGGTTTACAACGACCACGCCTTGTTTCATCTTGGCGAATTCGGCATGGCTGATTATGTGCCGCGTGCTTTTCTGTGGAAAAATTCAGCAAATGGAAAAAAAAAAGGAATGGAGAGGGTTGTGTACAGTACGCGTGTGTGAAAAAGGCGTGGGGGAATAAAAGGGTAAATATTGTTGGGAAGGAAAATGCGGCGGGCTGAAATTCAACCAAGACAAAAAAGAAATAAAAAGAAAATACACCCACATTCAATGGTAAATTTAAACTAATCACATCGCTCCTCCCCAATAATTCATCAAAGGATACATATTCCGCACCGTCGGCAAGCTCATCACTCAGTTTTCTGCGGTTATGGTAGATAATCTCCAGTCCAAAGGCTTCCGCCTTCTTTTTCAAATTCCGACCGATTCCCCCCATGCCCAGGATTCCAAGGACTTTCCCTTGAGGGTCATGGCCCAGCTTTGGAGGCGGTTGGCCTTTCCATTTCCCTTCTCGCAGGGCCAGTATGCTTGTGTTAAAGTTGCGCAGTGCCCCAATTATCAAGAACATATTAACATCTGCGGTTGCGTCGTTGACGGCTGTTGGAACATTGGAGACTAGCACCGGTGGCGAGCGCGCGCTACAGGCATCAACGTCGATTTGGTCATATCCAGCTCCTGGGGGACGTTGTCAATATCGCGATTCCGCGGATGAGACAGGCGAGAACAAATTGGGTTGCAATAGCCACTATGTCATGGGAAAACATGGACGTGAATATTGCAAAAGTGATAAAAGGATGCAGAAACATACCGCAATGTGCAAGATATCTCAATGAATTCGGCAGCACGTTGACCAATTCCTCATCGACGAGGCCTGTGACGCTTGATGACTCAAAAGTCCGATAAGCCACGAGGACGCCATCGAGCTTGCCAGTGAGGCACTCCTGAATGAATTCGGCACGATTAGTGGCCTTTGTTTCAACAAGATCTGCAATATCTGCCAGACTGGCCCAAGCTGAATGGGCACTTTGGAGAGATAAACATGAAATAAACCCTATCAGCATATTCCTAAAGAGGTAAAATATATATATATATAGATATATATATCTGTAGGGGAAAGTTCTATGTATCAAATGGGTACAAATTGTGGCGTGGTTAAAGTGAAGTATACCATCATGGACAAGTCTAGCAACATAATTCCGTGCAAATGTAGAGATCGATATTGCCAATTGTCCATCGCCAGAGGAGGGACCGCAGCCAGGGGAGATGGGGATTGCAAAAGACTCACTGGTCTATCTTTCCCAGAAGCAGCGCCTTCGGCTTGCTGTTGGAACCCATAACAATTAGATTGTGGACTTAAAAGAGCTTGCTTCTATTTTCTATCAGTTAGTGATGGCTATGCTAATGATGGTGAAAAGAAATAACACGCTGTACTTAAATATCTATGGAAGTTGCTTTACATCCAGTTGATCTGCAGCCGGCGGTAATTTATATAAAACTGGGCGCCCTGAATCACCGACCTGCAACGGGATATGGTGTGGTCCAGGCACGGGCAAGATGTCGGCGGCGAGGGCCGCTTAAGAGTCGGCTTGTAAATATAAACTTTATAGAAGTTTTAGTTTATTCAACTCCGCTACGGGGTTCGGCACGAAATATATACGAGTACCTAAAGAAAAGCAAAAGAGAAAAGGCCTGCATGGGACCGCATTATTTTTTGCAGCTGGGTCCTGATCTGTCAGACAAAATGAATATGGTTCTGACTGGAAATCTGTTGGGAAAAGGGAAACGGTGGATATCTACTACTGGTACTATCTCCAACGGCTGGCACGATTTGTCCATATCCATTGTTCCCCACATCGCGGAGAGTGGCAACACATTGGTGGGATAAGCACAGGGTCCTATTGCTAAAGCAGTTATTAAAGCCCTTAGAATCCTGTCTCGTTAATATTGTAGTCCTATATATTTTCCCTGCGGTAATTGTGAGATATTTATCGGCAAAAGACAGGGTATTCGGCCGAGCGAAAGGGATCTCTGGTCTGGGATGGCTCCAATTGCAAGTGAAGATGGGGTGGAATAGGTGGCTAGATATGTATCTTGCCTTGATACACGTCGAGCATATGCATGAGATGTTGCCGGCATGAAGATAAAAAGGGTCGATATGCCCGACCAGCTCGATATCTCGAAACATTCCCGAGTATGGCTCCAAGAATAAAACACCATTTTTGATGGCCACCAATCCACGTTGTCTTATGCGCGGCAAAATAGTATATGAACAAATGGAGACGAAGAAAACTGCCACCTCAAATCCAACTCCCAAACCATTCATCCCTCCGTCAACACCCTTGTCCAATCAAACTTCCTCCACCGTGTTTTAAACCCATCAACTCTCCCATCAGTTCCCTTGCGCCACCGTCCTTGCCGCTTAATTATATCCGGCTCCAGATCCAGCATACCACCTATAACTTCCCTGGCAAACAGATCCCCACGTGGCCACCGATTGGTATCCTCCACAATATGCCCCAGCCCGCCATCCAATTCAAACCATACGTGAAAATACGGCATCTCCTTCGCAATGGTGCGGCGGAACGCTAACTTCCCCATTCCCGCGCGCGCCTGTGCCAGGGTGTCGATCAATTTCTTATGCTGCGTCCACTCCTCGTCAGCGGCGAGAATGGCTTCCTTGAAGAAAGCTGGGGAGGTCTCGCCAAGAGCGTAGGGGAGAGGAACGACTTCCATCGCGGCGTGGCGGCGGCGTTGTGGTTGTGCTGCGTTCTCATAGAAGATTACATCTCGCCCTTGATCGTGATACATGCGCGTCAGGCTTTTCATGAAGTTTCGGATCTCTTCCCATTCGTCGTCGTCGCATTCGAGGAGATTGCTCCGGTGTTGGATCGGGACGATGCAGGCGCTCCCCTCACAGAGCTCAGGTTCTGTGGGGAGAGTGAGATATACTCTCGTTGCCAATGACACCACGGGGGCGAGGGGAGGTGTTTCTGTGTCTTCGTGGTAGCAGAGTGGGCAGCTATCGAGGATGCGGTTCATCTTTTGGAATTCATTGATCGCGGTATTTTTTATGTTGATATCTGATTTTTGTACGCGTTTGGCGAGCTTCGCGGCATTCTCGTCCATATACTCAAGATCATTCTAGAGAGTAAAGAGTCGGAGGGTTAGAACTCATATCACCGTTTTGTGGAGAAATGTCGGGCGGGTATGATAAAATGAAAAATCTCACATCAAATTTTGCATCTTTCGCAATCCTCTCCGCAAACCGCTGTCCTTCGCCTCCAGCCTGACCACGGGTCCTACGCTCCTCTCGCACCATATCTTCAATGGTCATATCTTCATTTTCCTGCACTTGGCCTCTTTCATTTCCTCTCTTCGTATCCACTGGTTTAACTTCTCGCCGTTCTCCTCCAGCGAGCAGCCTATTGTCCATCACACCAAGGACCACCAGATCAGGATCCTTTCGATTGGCTATAGATGCAATTGCAGCATTATATTCCGCCTCTAGTTCTGCCGCATTCGGGGCCTTCCGTAGCTTTGCTTTCATCACCTGTGCCTTGAGCCTATTTAGATCCGTAGAATCGAGCTGTTTCGTCTGCTGTGGAATTAGAGGCCCGGATTCAACAGATTGCCTTGAATGCAACTGGAAACCACTTGGATCCTCATCTTCTTTGCGAGTTTGCCGTTCTTCTTTCTCCTTCAAACCCCTGTCGAGTTTTCTTTCCCGATAAAGCTCACCACTGGGCTTCTCTTTGCCAACATAGTCCTCACCATAAGTCTGTCTCCTCTCCAACTCAATTTCCTCCTCCCTCGCATCGTCAAAAGAACGCAGGTCCCCAAATCGCTCAATAGCAACATCCTCAACCCTTGCCCCCCTTTCCTTCGCCTGCCTGTATACAGCTTTCAGTTTCGTCATCCGCCATTGAGAACCAGCATCACCAAAAGTATAGTCCACGTCATGTTTAGCCGGCACACCCACATCTTTGCTATCAGGCTCCGGTTCTCCCTCTTCGTTGATATCATGTAAATGGCGATTAAGCTCTCTCTCATGCAATTTAAGCTCGTAATCCACCTGCAGCATACGTTTTGTTGATGGTTCTGACTGCTTAGGTTTGGGGCGCTGAACGTAGTCTATATCTAGTGCGGAGGGGGCTTCCATCCATGAATCGCGCTGTAGTCCTGTAGGCTCTTCTTTACGAATTGGTAGTGGAGATATATGTGAGGTCAACAGATCCGGCTCTCCCGCTTTCCCACTCTCTTCGTGCCTAGACCCGCGTTTCTGCGAACGATCGCTGTTCCCATCGCCGTTGCTGCTGGAGTGGCGGGAGCGTTTGTGTCTGTGTCCGTTTCCATTTTCGTCTTGGTAATTGCTGTGTCGGGAGGAGTGATGGCGACGGCTGTGGTGGTGAGAGGAGTGCCTATCTTTGTCTCTTTCTCGATCTCTGTCATTACCCCTGTCCCTATTCTTTTCCCTGTCCCGATATCTACCCCTATCTTTGTCTCTATGTCTGTGTCGGTCGCGGTCGCGGTCCCGGTCCCGGTCCCGGTCCTGGGATTTCTCCTGATGCGTTTCCTTGCTTTTCTCTCGCTCCCTTTTCTTCTGACTTGCAGCCAGCTCTTTTTCAAAATCATCCAAAGTCATATTTTTTTTTTATCCTGCAGGTAAAGATCGCAGACGTGGTTGATATTTCCAAATATTGGAGAGGTCTTATTTCCTCGTTAAGGAAAGGGATTGGGGCTGTCCCAGAGCTCCGGATGACGTTGCTTCGATCAATTTTCTCCTCGCCACAAAAAACATTTCTCCGCACTGTCAATATCCCCAACACTCAAAACTTACTTCTTCGCCAATACTAATTGCATACCATTGCCACTATATCCTGATCGTATACCAACATCAATAACCTGTCGAGGACAGCCCGCGACAATCATGGCGGGGCCCGTCGCCGTCGTCTGCGTTGGCATGGCTGGTGAGAATCAATAGAAACAGTCGCGAGTCCCATAACAAGTCCCCCCAAATACTAACTACAATGAATCCCCAGGATCCGGTAAGACGACTTTCATGCAGCGCATCAACTCATATCTACACTCCACACTCAAACCTCCATACGTCCTCAACCTCGATCCAGCCGTCCACTCCGTCCCTTTCGAAAGCAACATCGACATTCGCGACTCAATAAACTACAAAGAAGTCATGAAACAGTACAATCTAGGCCCCAACGGCGGTATCCTCACCTCTTTAAACCTTTTCGCCACAAAAATCGATCAGATAATATCTATATTGGAGAAGCGCACGCTTCCTCCCCCTGCCAGTTCAGATTCCAATGCCAACATCGATCCTACAAAGCCAAGCCAGACGCCGCGAAAACCCATTGAGCATATTCTCATCGACACGCCTGGGCAGATTGAAGTGTTTGTATGGAGCGCGTCGGGGAGTATCCTACTCGAGACGTTAGCCTCCTCGTTCCCAACCGTTATTGCATATGTGATCGATACCCCACGAACGAGCTCGACAAGTACATTTATGAGCAATATGCTGTACGCATGCAGTATACTATACAAGACCAAGTTGCCAATGATTCTCGTCTTCAACAAAACGGACGTAAGACGCAGAGTTGCAGAGTGGATGTCTGATTCGAAGCTTTCAGGCGCGTTGCGTGAGGAGAAGAAGCTGCGTCTTCCTGTGCTGATGGGGCGTGGCAGCATGGGAGGGGAAGTGGCTATATGGCTCATTTTGAATAGTATGAGTCTGATGCTGGAGGAATTTTATCGACATCTCAATGTGGTTGGGGTAAGTGCTATGACCGGTGATGGGATTGATGAGTTCTTTGAAGCGGTGGAGGAAAAGCGGCAGGAATTCGAGCGGGATTACAAAACTGAATTGGAGAGAAGGAGGAGAGAGAAAGAGGTGGCGAAGGAGGAGAGAAGGGAGACCGAGCTGGGGAAATTGCTTAGGGATATGAATGTTTCTGGTTCTGGGTCCCGCGATGGGCAGAAGCAAAGTCGGGAGCCGGAGACTGTGTCCGAAGCGGAAGATGATGAAGATTCGGATGAGTACGAGGACGTGAAACCTGGTGAAACTGAAGTTGACCAGAGGGACGATATTGGGCTTGAAGAGAGATATAAGCATGCCCTGGAGGAATCGGGCCCGGTTCTATCTGATCAGGAGCGGAGCTCTGCAAGATATTTACGCTCGAGTAATATTGGATGATAGGCATAATTGACTTGGATTACTCGATGTATTACTCTCTCAATAGTCACTTGAGTACTCCTTATCTAGCGCTCCACCAAGCTGGGAGCCATGTCAGGGGTTGAAGCACTCCACCTTAACTTGAAAATAAAAACAGCTTTTAGCATTGAATTTAACTTACGACAATAGGCCAGTAAAAAGAAGAATTAACAATAGAAACACCAGTGCGAATTGCTATTTTTCAAAAGTGTTTTCAGAGGAGATTTTCTGTATTGGGCTTCCTCACACCATGCAATGCTTCGGAGAAATGTGGAAAAGTGTACAGTTCAGAACTCAGCAAGATCTTGTCAAAATAGCCAAATGTACTTCGTGCTGTTATTTGCAGTTGGACTTGAGACGATGCCAGTATATACAATTGAATATTCTTCCGTAGTATATGACTATGTTTATTGTATTTGCCTCATGATGGTAGCTCTTCATGTTCCTGTTTGCTGTATGATGTCATACCTAAAGGAGCAATGAAGCTCTGATGACTTTTCCTGCCTTGGGGTTTAGATCTCAACTATCGACGGAAACACTGCAAATACCCGATTTATGGAGATATCTCGGAGAAAAACCTGAAAAGCGGCTGGTTCCTTCAGGAGGTATCCGTTAAATCAAACCCTTTCACCATATACGCAACGAGGCAACAGTTAAACTCTGTTGTTGCGTTCAACGATGGATGTATGTTGAATCGGTCTATACGAAGACTCGAATAGACTGAACGAAAGTTGACATCTGGAAATCCTCGCACAGGTCTTCTACGCATATACATACAGCACAGCGGCATGGCTAAGCCTGCAGGGCATTCCGCTGGTCGCAACTCCCAAAATGATCATCATGATTCTGCTCGATGAATCACGTCCACCTGCGAGTATGACCCCCACCCGGCTCTCCCCAGTTACCACTTACAAGATAGATAGAAGATAGATAGGAACAAGACGGAAATATTAACTAAACGTCGCAGTGCTCGAAATCTATTTCGCGCGGTGTTTCGGCCTAAGCCTCCTCGCCATCGCCGCCATGACCATCATGCTCACGGGCTCGATACCCCTCTCCTCATCCGCCGCATACTCTATCTCTACAGAAGGAGATGACCCTAAGGCACCCTACGCCGTGCCCACGATTCTCATGTCATCGATATTCCACGCCTCGTCAGCCTGCTACACATACGCCTGGTTCCATACGACAAGGCAGACGAGTTTTGCGCTAGCAATGGTGATGTATGGCGGGTTGGCGTCGGTGGGGCTGTGGTGTTTGTTGTTTGCTAGTAGTGATGGAAGGATTAGCAGGAGGACTGGGGCTGATAAGAGGACGTCGGGGTTCCCTTTTAAAAATGAGCAGGCGGATAAGAAGAGGCCGGGAAAGAAGATGCTCTAGGCCGAGACGAGGAGTTTGGAATCCAGGGTTCATCTTCATCATTTTTGATCCGCGATATGCTGGTCGACGAGATGCGAGCAGATCGATGGATTTGAATTATTTCCCATAACGACGTAATTGATAAAAGGCTTAGCTGAAGTGAGAGATGCCCGTTAGCGGGTGGGTTACTGGTATAACCATCAGAGCCGCGACCTTTGAGAGGAGATTGGGAACTATGTATTTAGATGATAACTGAGTTTCTGTGTCGAGTCCCAAGTACTGAACAAGAGCCCTCATTGTCTTATTTAAAAGTGACTTGACGAACAATCGTGGAAGAACTCAATCCAATAACCACATCCTCATCCTCAGCCTTTCATAACTGCATCTACGGAGTCACTCAGAAACTGACATCACTCCGTCATGGTGTAGAGGTAGGATATCCAGCGATGCACCCATCCAGCTGGAGCTTGTGAGGGCATCCGCCAAACCGGTTCGGGACTGAAACATTTAACCCAACCCAACAAAGGAACGACATCTCGTGCCGCTTCAATGCATTCCCAGCAACAAAGCTCCCCATAACCCCCGAATAAGCCTCGACTCTCCGCGCCTATTCTACCCCCTACACCCCCATCTCTCTGGACATCTGGTGAACGCGCATGGAGGATTCGGCTGTCCGGCTGCAGGACAACCTGCAGAGCCTCGACGCTGCAGAGGACATCCACGCGCTACACACATACCCCGGTCTGACCTCGAGAAGCAACCGCGACTTTGAAGCAGCAGCCGCTGTAGCAGCAGCAGACGCAGCAAGCGGCTCACAACCGTTCGATGCACTCCCGGCGGCGACAGCAGCTGTAGCTAATAATTTGCATCCGTCTACCGTTACCAGCCAAGATGGTGAGAGCTTTTTTACTTCCGCGACGCCGTTGTCTACTAGTATGCAGAAATGAAGGCATACAGCAAATCATAAAATATCTGGTAGCTGCATAATTAACTACTGGATCTGGTTTATTATTTCTTCTGCCACTAATTCTAACAAACCTATTCTTTTGTAGATTCTCTTCCCGAAAATCCAGCAACCCCTCAGTCATTACGGCGCCCTCACCAGCAGCAACAACAGCTAACACAAGCGCATCACCAACATCAGCTCCATCCCCCAAACAATAGTAATGGATTCCTCGAACACACAAACAGTAGCACGGTCGATATGCTGGATCATCTCCAGACATCTCTTCCGCCGCATCTCTTAAACCAGTTCCACGATGCAACCCCTCCTATGGGTGGCGGCGAATCGCCATTGTCGCCTGCTATTAATAAAGGAGAACCCTACTTTAAAAATATGAAATTAATTTCGAATCCGCCCGATCTTAAAAGATGGCGGGAGCGACTGTTCAATGTTGAGGATACGATCGTCCTCAGTGAAGAAGAGTGCGTTGGGCAGTCCCATGTACATGTACATGTTCATCGAAACACCTGGAGAAACCGAATCGTCACAAATCCAAAGAGAATTTGCTAATTCAAGTCCCCAATACGTTTAGATTCCAAACCTATTTCCCCCACATCGACAACGTCTACTCCCACCGCTCCACCCAGAAATATAAGCGCAAGCTCTTCGTCTCTCACTACTGGGACTGCCGTCTCAAGGGCCGACCACCTGGAACTCCCAAATCCCGCGACCCAAACAAAAAGAAGCGCAAGCGCACAGCCCGCGAGCGCGACCTCTGCGACGTCAAGATCAAAATCACAGAGTATCTGCCCGGAGCCCTGACTACGCCACCGGGTTTGGGCCCTTCCCTTCTCTCCATCAACTCGCCATCCCTTACAACCACGACCACTGCTTCGTCAGATATGCAGCCTGCGACCAGTATCAGCTTTCCTGGCTCTGCGGACCAGAGTAATGGCGCGCGACCCCATGTGGCGGGCCATCATCCTCAGTCGCAATCACAGTCACAACTGCAATACCCGTTCGGCGTTTTAGCGCCCAGTGCGACCTTGCCGGAAGGCCACCCTGGCGCTGCAGGTGCGAGGTACTATACAATTCAGAGGGTAAATGGGAATGGGGGCAATGGGAGGACGGGTGGAATTGGCGGGCCGCATCGACATACTTTGGAAGAAAGTGACAGGATTAAGAAGAACAGTGTGCAGAGGTATTTGCTGAAGGAGGAAAAGGAAAGGAAGAGGATTATGGTAAGTTTGAATTTTTTTTCTTTTTTTTTTTTTCTTCTCTAAATACTACTTTGTGTAAAATGACGGGTTTTCTTTTGTTGGTTTGGTGGTGTACCTATGTATTGCGTGGAATGGATACAATTGAATTGAGTGACGATGATGCACGTCATTTCTGCAAAATTTGCCAACTTTAAGCAAAAGGGGCGTATGCGGGTTGGATACTATTTTATTGTTCTCTTTCCCCATAGACAACACGCAAAACGTCTACGCCCTTCGCACGAAGCACGGTTTTATTATTCCCAAAAGATTTCGTTTCCGTTTTAAATGCTAGGCAAGAGAGGAGAGAGGTAAAAATGTCTGACAACATCCAAAAGGTACAGCAGAAAACATACCACAAAAAGGCCTCGGGCTCCGCTGCCGTAACGGTCAAAAAACACGCAAAAGAAGCAGACCTAAAGCTCTTCGGAAGTTGTTTCTGGTAGGTAAATAATTATAGAGATCGCCTTGACAATTACCCAACCTCCTCCCCATTCAAAATAAAGGAACTACCTCCGCTACCCACTTAATTTGCACACAGACCGAGGTTGTTTTTGTTTCGTCAATCACTAACACTCGAAACCTAACCTCTCATATTTTCATTGATTCACTAGTCCGTTCGTCCAGCGCGTTTGGATTGCCTTGGAGGTAAAAGGGATACCCTACCAGTACATCGAGATTGATCCGTACAAAAAGCCCGAGTCATTGCTGGAGGTCAACCCACGCGGTTTGGTGCCCGCCATCCGCCAGGGGAATTGGGGATGTTATGAGAGCACAGTTTTGCTGGAATATGTATGCCTTGCTTATATTCCCTTTCCCCCCTTCCTTTCCCCCTCCCCCCTCCCTCTTTTTTCCCCCCCCCCGTTCCTTCAACATAGGAAACTTGTTGTGCTAACCAGTCGTTCCTCGCTTTTTGCCGTGCCTTTTTAGCTTGATGAACTCGAAGCCAGTAATCCTCTCTTAAGGCCAAGAGATCCCCAACTGCGTGCCCATTGCCGTCTGTGGG